TTACCCCACTGCCCTCATAATAGCCCACTTCCATTTGCTTTTCAACAGTCAAGTTTGGATAAAAACCTTGCCTTCAAGATCATTTTAGACTGCAACCCATCCTGTGAATTAAATTCAAAATGTGACAAATACGTGCACAAAAACCTCACACCATTTCTCCCTCACATCCTCTGCCAGCCTGTTCTCCATCTCATGAACATTGCCTGACTTTGCCGACATTTGTTTCCTAAGACTCAAGTTCTGCTTTGCACACTGATTTCCCTCCAGCTACTTCATTATCGCAGTTCCTGTTAGTTTGTCTCCCCATTGCATCAAACCGTAATACAGAGAGAGCCAGTCTGCACTGCCCGGCAGGAGACACCCAGCTGCCTCTGGCACTGCTACCCTGGTGCTGTGCCAACAGCCAGCCTGAAAGTAACCAAAAATAAACACAAGCCTCATTCCAGCCACTTGAAATAAGACCTGAGTGTGGATCAGGCTCTGGGGGCCAGTTTCACCATAATAAATTGTAGGCATTTCACTCTTACACCTTAGGAAAGCTGGAGATAGCAGGAAAAGTAGGTGCATTTGCAGGGCAACCTAACCCTGTCAGAGCTACAGTTCTCTGAGGAGCACCAGAGCTTTTAAACTACTAAGTACAGTCATTATTTAATAATACATACTGCCTTTTGACATGGTTTACCTTTAAAAAAAAGGAGCTCTCATTTTGCCACAGGAACTCCAGTCAGCCTGCCCTCCTGTTGCCCCTACACATCTCCTATCCAAACGCAAGCCTCTCAGAAAGCTCCAAGAACTTTTTTCCCTTTACATCTGCAAAGATTACAATGCTCTAACTTCAAGTCCCTGCAGCTACTGCTGGTGTCACCACACAGATGCCCAAGACCACAGCTCACCTCAGCTAAGTGCATGCAACGATCGCACCTGCGCAGTTCCTCACACATGCACTCCAACGGCTGCACCTCAGGCCTGCCAGCTCTTCTAACAGTCCTATCTTGCCCCCGGGAGCTTGCCTTGGTTTTCGGAATCAAAAACCTAAGCATTGAGGTGCCTCTGAGGTTTTTAGCAGGGAGATGGCCACTGCTTTGCTGGCAAACGCTCATTTTCCACCAAAATCTAAGCTGTGCTCTGCTGCAAAATGGCTGCCACGCCACAAACGGTCCCATAGCAGTTTTACATGCATCTTTCCAATGCCCTCCTAAAAAGAAGCAGGCATCTCATAAGTGAAATGTTATGAAAGCACTTTTAAAGTAAGAGAAAATACAGGGTAAACTGTAAAAAAAAAAAAAACATACCCAGCCCTCCCCCTGCTTGCTGTATTGCAGATGTATTTGCCACAGGTCTGCTGTCAGCATACACCCGCTCGCCAAGGAAAGGCCCAGGTGTTGATGAAAGAGTAATTCATTGCACCTGGCTTAGCCACACCATGCTAATGGAGAACAGGCCCAGAGCTTAGAGTCAAGGCATCACTGCTAGAGGGTGCCTTGATTTCTGATGGGAGAGCTCCTCAGAGGAAGCTTCTGTTCACTCCTTCACTGAAATTTGCTCTTGTGTGGCTGCTGTAGCCGTGAAGAGTTTATCTGCAGTATGCTTTGCTAAAGTAGAAGGTACCCCTGCAAGAGTAACCTCTACATATCAGAGAAGTTAATTATGCCCTACTAAATGAGTTGTAGAAAAAGCTTATATGATACCTAGGCTTGGAACTTGCCCTCACAAAGGTTCTGACTCTACCCTGCAGGACTGGAAGGAAAAGCTGAGAGGAAAGTAGAGACCATTTTCTCAGTAAGGCAAAACTATGCAAGAACAGCCATAATTTGCAGAACACCAGACCTCCTCATTTGTTGCCCCTCTATCTCCTTTCAAAACATTATATTATTCAGCAATGATTTCTCAGCTGTGATAATTATCAGCAATCATGGCCTATTATGGGCTTAAATCTAAGAGTAGCGGTACAAATAAGATCTAAGCATAAGACAGACTATATTCAGAATTAATGGTTATTCTCCTAGCCCTATCATTTCCTGCTGTCCATGTTATCAGAGATTCTGTAGGATCACATAAACAGCTGGAGCCAAAGCAAAAACGTAGGGTCAATGGGGAGCTGCAGAGAGGTAAATATCTTATCTTCACATCTCTTGCTCCTAGGGCTGCTCTGAAAGTAATGCCTATTGTTCTGTTATGTTGGCCCACTATGTCAGAGGTGGATGCTGATGGTATGGCAGTAGAGGTTGAACCTTACTACCAATATTCAGTTCCATTTTGCTGCATGATGGCAGCAGGTGGCAGTCTGACAGAATGGTGTCTGATGTGGAAGGGCGTATGAAGCAAAACTATGTCATTGAATTCCTCCATGCAGAAGCAATGGCACCCAATGACATTCATCTACACTTGCTGAATGTTGATGGAGTCCAGACAGTCAATGTGAGCACAGTGAGGTGATGGGTGGTGCATTTCAGCAGCGGTAACAGCAACATAAGAGACGACACATTTTAGACAGCCATGCACAGCTATTACATCATGAAATGAAGAGTGTCTCTAACAACTCATCCACGCAAAGCAACTAATGGCGGTGACTATGCTGAAAAATAGTGTTTTGTAACTTAGAATTTTCTCTATCGAATAGTACTATTGTTCTCTTTGTATCTGCTGTAGTTTCCATGGAAATAAATAGAAGGTATTACTTTAATGGTGACCTATGTATTTATTCAAAGCCAAACTTCCTGCAGGTGCTGTACTCAGCAATCTCTTTTGTCATAGGGATTTCCAAGTCTGAAAGCACCAGCAGTGCTAACTCTCAGAAGGGCGATTACCTTTCATCTGGTCACTCCATCTAAGGAAATACATCCCTACAGTACCAATAGCTTCAGTTTGGGTCTCTGCAAAATCCTTGGGGGAAACTGACATATACATAAGTCTTAAAGGTAGGCTTGGATTCCACAAACTCATCTTTCACTTAGAAAGCCAGAAAGCACACTAGCAAATGAACTACAATTGCTCTTGCTTCAACAATCACAGAACACAATTACTTTGCACATGAGTGTATCATTTCCTCTACACCAAGACAAGACAAAGGGTTAAGTTAAAATGTAGATTATAAAACAACAAATCCCATCTCCCCTATGTCATCCAAGACAAGCAGAACTGTTTTACACACACACACACACACACACACACACAAAAAAAAAAAAAAAAAAAAAAAAAAAAAAAAAAGGGAGGGGGAAGAAGGGCCCTTAGCATTTCAATGGAACCGAGTCACTACGAGCTGAGTTACTGGGCTTCAGACCGCAGTATATATATTGTAAGCAGAGGAACATCTGGCCCAAAAGTCTGCTTTTTCATGAAAGGGTTGCAAGTCACCCCTACTGGGAAGATAGCTCTGTGAATGCCAGAAGAGAATGTCAGCCAAAAGTTATGCTATTCTTACAATAACTGGACAATTCAGGATGACCAAGACACAGTCTTATAAGACATAAGACTAGAGGACAACTGGAAAGGTTGCTAGATGTCTCGTTAAACTTCTGTAGAAGTTGGTGAGCACTGGTTTACAACTTCAAGCTGCCAGCACTACTTCTGCAGACAGCATGGGCCAATGTATTAGCCACAATGAACAGAATCAACATAGGACCTGATTTGAATGGTGTGTTTTAAACAAAGTTCCTCTAAAAGTTGTTAGGGATGCTTTGTCATCTTCCTTGCACAGAAGCTTCTCCAGAAGAATTAATTCTGTTGTCTTTCCACTTCCACAAACTCAAATGGTCATTAAGAAAGTGGAATTGAAGTGTCATTCTCAACGATTCTCAGGTGACTAAGCTAGCATGGCTAATGATTTTTTAATATCTTATTATGCCTTCAAGAAAAGTGATGTAAGTAATGCAGTATTTTGTTTTCCAGTTCTATAAACTCATTTGTTTTTGTCTCATTTCAGAGTCCCTCTGGAGCAGCTCTCCAATTGGGCTTATTTTGTATTTGTTGAAATATATATCCGTTTATTGTCCTAGTAACAGAGTTGAAAGGCAGGAAGCATAATATCTTTCAATTTCTGAGAAGTCATTTCTTTCTGGCTAACCTGGTCTCTCTGACCCAGAAGAAAGAGTATCATCATTGAATTAATTTTCTTCCAAAAAAAGAGCCTAAAATGAAATAAGCTACAGGGAACTGTGTGGAATAGGAATAATAGCAGACTGATATGTTCATTTTATGTAACTACTTCTGCTCTTTTATGCGCCAAGTAAATTATCCTATTCTTCCAGTTCTTGTGGCTTGTTAAACATTAGAGGTGTTATTATAGCTGCAGCTAGAAGAATCTTATTCCAGAACTATTTAAAACTGCTTTTAAAAAAAAAAGTAACGCAATGCATCTGTGCTTAGACAGAGATACTATTAGGTATAAAACAAAACCAGCCAAAGATAAACCAAAAAAGAATTAAATAAATTGCAGGAGGTAAACGCATCTCATAGAAAGTAATGCAAGCAGTATTTTTCCAGCTAGTGACTACTTGAGAGAAATTAGAGACAGATTACTACTCATTAGGATTTTTACTTAGACCTTCATAAACATTTAAGCAAGCTTGTCCACAGCATCCTTCTTAGACTGGTTCAGAAGGTAAATACTAGGACACTCAATTATCTAAAATAACTTTTTTTTTTTTCAAGATTATGTTACAGTTGTCTTGCAACTTACAGAGGAATCAAGCTGAAAATTGTAGTGTATTGGCTAATGTTGACTCCTAAGAATTTAGGAGGCCAGCCAAAGAAGGTATCAAGAAAGGAAATCTGCTTTTATGAAACTAAAAAAAAAAGTTGATATTTCACTTCTTCCTTTTCTGCAGGATACATATACTGATCCTACTTACGGCAATAATAGGTGCTTTTATGTCAGGACTTAGCAACCTATTTTCATAAGACAGTACAATAGGGTATTTTTTGGGACTTTTTTTAGTGTGCAGACTTTGTGTTTCCATACACCAGATCTATTCTCCCTGTCTTTCCAAATGTGAGACTTCATGTTCTTTTGTGAGAGGATTGCTTTTCCGAGTTTAGACTGCAGCTGCTAATCCTCCCTTCTTGTCAAGAACCAGAGGCTAGCCTGGTTCTGTGATGCTCCCATCAAGTGTTGCCATATTGCACATGGCTCCATATGGAGCTAAGGTTGTGCCAGCTGAAGGAAAATAGCTCCCATCTCAGATATGTTTTTCAAGCAGCTTGTTCCGTCCTCTGTGTGAACATGCACTGACAGCCTGTCTCTCTCTTGTCTAAGCTTCAGCATCCCAAAGAAGGTTGTTGGACTGCAAGCAGCGACTGTCTGCTGATAGTTCAGACTTTTTTAGTGATGATGTGGAAGAAGTGGTATTACTGATACCTCAGATAAAGGTTGTTCAAAGCATCTCCTACTCTTCCATCATATTACCATTCCAAAAAAATTTCTTGTCACGCTATGGAGAGCAAATCTCAAAATCCAATTGTCTGCTGCTTAGGCTTTCTATAAACAGAAACAAAATAAATGACCCCCATTTCAACACTAGTCTTGGGAAGTCAGTGCTTCTTCTATGGTTTCTCCGTAGTTATTCACATGAAAAGGAAATGATGGCCTTTCCCTCCTCCTATTGTGCTATCTGGTCCTATCAAGCTGAAAATAGTATGCTAAATGCCATTTCAGAACAGCCAAAGCAGGGTAATCCGGTTCCTCTTTCTGCTTGTGCTACCCGCACTAATGCTGACCTAAAGGGGGCTTAAAGATCTGACTGTAGGAGGTTCATATAGAAATTCCCTCCAGATCTCCCATTCTTTTAAGCTCCTATAAGAGAAATCGTGTATTGTAGTTCACAGACTCAACTCCTATTTGCCAGCTTTAGCAAGGGCCAGGATTGGCTCACTTCACCACTGGAAAAAGTTCAGCTTGCATACAGCATTGCTTGCCAGCCATCCTGCCAAAGCAGCTTTATTTTCCACTTCAGGCTTCCCGTACAGCCAAAGCAGCATTTCCATGAATTTGTTGCCTATAGATTTATTATTTTTTTTTATGGTGACAAGTGAGAAAGCTTTATACCAAAGGATTTATAAGGCAGGTGAGCCTTAATTGCCCCTGTATCTTTCTCTGGCCTTAACACTCATGCTAAATGTATGTAAAAGCTGTTGCATCAGCAGTTCTTTGTTATATTCCCTTTGTAAACTATCACACAGGAGACAAATTAAGGCAATGTCAAGTTCATCTTCCAGAACTTGCACTTCCCATTGTAAAGTTGGAAGGCAATGGAACCCATGATTGTTGTAGAAAATAATGTCAAATGTAAGCAAAATTAAATTGTTTTGCATTTAAAACATTTCAATTCAAGCACGCTGAAGATAGCTCTATTTGCCTCAATGAATTTTCTGAATAAGTACCCACACTGTGGTTGTGCCCATTTGACTCCAGACCTTGTTTTTATGATGTGGTTGGGTCCTAAGTACACTTATCCTTAAACATATTATAGAAAGATCGATACAAATTAGATCATTCTGTATTAAGATAACCCCTCCCCAAACAATCCCATAATTCTGATTTTGTGATTTAGTGTAATTATGTAATGCTTGTTCAAGGCCGAATACACTGATAGGTTGACATTCAAGGCAACTTTGAGCTATTCTAGTCAGTAATGATCATATATCCAAGTAATAAAATTAATCAGACCTCTTGGCGCTCTACTTTTGTGCTTTGAGAGCTCCTCAGATCACCATGCTCAAGAAATGCCTCCAGAGGAGAAGAGGCTGTAGAATTCCCACCAAAGTTGTGTTTTGCTGTTGTACGCCCTTTCTTCTTTTAAAATACTTCCATCTGCCTCCTGCAGAGCTTGATACAGCATCTCTGTGTGCAAATAGCATGCTCCTCTATAATTAGCTTCCTCCTCTGTGACTTAATCAGTGATATTGTAAACCAGACACTGTGATAATTTGATCAGCTCAGTGGTGGTGAATTGTAGCATGACTAAAAAGTCCGGGCTGGTTGTAACTATAGGAGAAGCATCTGCTTGAGGGGAAGCGCAATTCAGTAGTTAGGGTCAGAGCATATGATTGCATTTAAATCCTATAGCTAATTCCCGTTCCTACTCTCCAGGCAGTGTCCCACTCCCTAAAGCCAGGAGGCATGTTTCCAGTAGGCACATGAACTTTCTCTGCTCCTCTGATACCCAATGAATCTGAGCTATTTCATACACTGCTTACACAGAGGGGGAAGGATAGCTCCATCTTCTACAGAAGAGATCACCATCTCACAATCACATGTTTTCTTATTATGTAAAATTTAGGTTTCAGGGCTATTTAAGCAGAGAAGACAAAATGATATACCTCCTCTAGCCATATAAAAGAATGGGAAGGTATCAGGAGAAGCAAGTTTTTCCTTTTTGTGTCCTGGGGGAAAAAAAGAAAAAAAAATACCAGTAGTATCACAGGTTTTTTTGCAGCACACTCAATACAAGCTGCACCTCACATGTGGCACTGAGGCCAAGGTAGGCAAAGGGGTGGCATACCTGTAGGTCCCAGTGGTGCTAGCTTGCAAGGAAATCTCTTCCCAGCTTTTTTTTTTTTTCTTCTGGTGCTTGGTAACCTGCCGGATGAGTGGGCGTATAGAAGAAAACCTCTGCATTTCATCTGTTTTAGTGGAGAGCCATGCCCCCTGAAAAAGAAGATATGCCATTGCTTCAACAAGCTCTTCACTGATTCTGTCATTACTAGTTGCAGGCAGTACACTGTATCTCCATATTACCTTGAAGAATTTCAAACATGTATGAATAAGTAGATTTGTTTAGTCCTCTTCCCTACCCTTTCAAAACCGCAGCAGGTTTCTATATTAGGCAGCTGTACATATTCTGGCTTCAAGCCATCCATAGTAAGATATCATTGAACCAAGAAGTTTCCTTTTGCAGTGTCATTCTCTCTAGGTTTCTTGGGTAACTCCTGGCTGTGTTAGTACATGCAAATTGCACTCTATGATCTGCTAATGAGTTCTCAAGCTGGAATGCACACTCAAATAGCTGAAAGTCACTTACATTATTCATCTTTTTCAGTAAGCCTGGTTTCAGACATACAGATTGCGCATACCATTTGAAGCAATTTGCTCTGCATCGATAAGGAGCCATTGTTTCTATGTGTGTCAGCTCTGGATTTACAGGTATATGCTTGCATGGAGGTAGCATTAGCAAGCTTCCTTGCCTCATGCTGGTAATTACTTCACAGCAGTCAGTGCCAAAGCTCTCACTCCATGCTCTCACTCAATAGCAGATTTCTCTCTTCCCAGTATATCAGCCAGGTGTGAATTTCAGAACATATGATACAATGAAGAAGAAAAAGCAGTGCATTTCTTCCCAAGGAATTCTGCAGAGAATATTTATTGTTAGAGTACTAGGGCAGATCTGGGAGTAGCAAACAATGACCTGCACAAAAGAAAATGACCACACACTGTGAAGAAAATCCATGAACAGGTGAGAAGTCAGGCTATGAGGGGAAGGTGGATTCATGTTACATCTGGGAATTCAGTGCAGAAATTCTTTGGATGCAATCAGAAGAAACAGGTATCAACATCTAACATAAGTGACTGCTTTCTCAGCACACAGGAGAAACGTACTCGGGCTGTGTTTGCACAACACCAAGAGGGAAAAAAATTCATGAATGGAATACCACCTACTCCAGGTCAAATTCTACCCTTTGTGAGCCTAAATGATACATGCCCAGTTTTTTGCCCCATCGGCTACCTAAACTGAAAACACGTCATGCTGCAAACAGAGGGATCATTCTGTTCAAAGATCTATCCTTTTCCTCATGGCAACAAAAAAAAAAATAAGTGGAGACTGTGCAAGCTCTTGGAGATGCCATTGATTAATGGGATAAACATACTGCATCAGTCCCTCTACTGGGACAGGTGAAGGTATTCACAATCCACTTTATTGTAAAGGCCAGAAAGAACTAAATGAACTGTAATAAATACCACCTTAACATCGAAGTCCCTGGAGACTTTCAAGAAACACATGGATATGGCATCAAGGGACATGGCTTAGTGCGCATGGTGGGGATGAGCTAACAGTTTGACTGCACTATCTTAGTGGTCTTTCTAACCTTATCAATTCTAACCTTAATATTCAGATGATCCAGAGATTTAAAATGTTTTATGTAAGAAAAGCTGCAGGGGTGGATTGTGTTTCTTCTCCCCAAAAGGACTGTTCCCAGGGACCCCATTCTGTAACTTTAAGGCGCAACCCAAACCTCACTCCCAAAGACACTGTCAAGCAGAAGTGGAGAGCAGTAGAGACTCTGCAAGCAGTGCTGCAGCATGACTGTGTTGTTCCCTGTGGCTCACGTAACAGGCCAGAAAAAAAAAAAACAACACCTTGCCCACTGTGACACAAGTCTTTTTCTTTATTTGGGATCATTCAAAAATCCTCAAATTTCTGTGTTTGTTTTGCACAAAGACAAGAGGCTAGATTCTGTCTTGCTTTCAGTGGATTGCTCCTGTGCCATGATGGGAGTGTGCTGTTTCAGAACTCTGAAAAAGCACTCAAAGAAGTTAGCAGTACAAGTGCCGTTGAAAAATTGTTTCCCTGGCACTTCTAAATCCTTTGGCAGCCACTGGGAAAACTGCCCAGTGTTAATACAGACCCTAAATACTCAAAAGACTTTGTCACTGGAAGCAGCATAGTAATGGGAAGTCACATTGGTGCATCTCTGTTATATAAATCACTAGCCAAAGTGACAACAGCCCAATCCACTAAGGGAAAGAAGTAAAGTCTTGCCAAACTTCAAAAAAGAACTAAATTAGTCCTGAAAGCTAAAATAAAGTTAAGTGATGGATACCAGGATGAATTCTGGAAAGATAAAAAAGCAAGAAGGCACCTTCAAAAAAAACTATTTTTCCTGATAAATTCCCTCAGAATACATTCTTAGATCTCACCTTAGCATCCCTTGCTTTTCTGAAACATCCACTTTCTAAGAAAGCTCTCCAAGGCATCCATGTTTTAGTGCTTTTCACAACATATAAAACTCAACCAGAACAAAGTTGTCTTTTCCTGGCCTCTCACTTTGGTTAATACATTAGGAGCCTACAGAGCACTCTCTGCACATTGCAATTTTTGGAAAGGGTAAGGCTTATCCTTGCAGAAAGCCAGTCACAACAACAGCACCCATACAGCAAGTCTGCATATGGGCCACGTGCTGTTGCAAAGCAAGTACTTGAAGGATCCAATTTTGGGTTTTCAAAGGATTCTTGAAATGTGTTTTACATATGCCGTGCCTGAAATTATTTGCCATAAAACTGTTGCATAGTTCTATATCTTGGTATTTGAGAAGAATGTTCACTAGGATGCCTGACATCACTGCTAAAATAGCACACGCAACAAGTTTTTCCTTTTCTGAAAAGGGGCTGGAAAGTTAGAGAGGAAGCAGAATTTCACCATGACCATAGTTTGAGGAAGGAGAAGAAACCCCTGCCTCACAAAACTTAAGTTTGTGCACTCCAATTAAGTTACTAAAGAAAGTTAAGAATGGAGCACAATAGCTTAACATAAAGTTCTGGATTTTGAAGGTACTTTTCCCTATTTTACTAATGGAGAATGATGTAATGAAGTAGCAGCTGAGTGTGGAAGACAGAAAGAAGGTGCAGATTTTAATAGTACTTAACAGGAGCTTAACTATTGCAACAAAATATTGAGGCAGAGGTCAAGTCTCATTAACTACAGAAGTTCTAATCAAAACTCCATGTCTTTATGAGGAGATGCTTCTGTTACCTAGAGACTACTTTCTCAGTAAGAGAAGACACTACCTACTATTTCAACATCTTGTGACATCAGGGGTCACGTGTTCTAATACCAAAATGCCTGCATTGGGGACCATTGCTACACTCAATCAGATCTCATGACATAAAACCAAATATTTTAGGCATATTAAGTCCATAAGTATCCTGTGCTCAAGTTGAATAACAGCTCATCTCTTTCCTTCCATCTCATAGCCAACTTAAATGGCACTTCAAAATGGGATCCTTAGAGAGTTTTCCTCTGAGGAATCTTTCAAGCTGACAAACAAAAAGCTGATTTTGGCAATCCTGTAGTGACATCTCTACAAGAAGGAAGGTTGGTTTTCTTGTTTGTTTTTATGTAAATGACTACTTCATTTCTCTTGGGGCAAAACCATGTATAATGACTTCACTAAAGGCATTAAGAACAACAATGTAGACATTCATTGAATTTAGAGACATATTTTGTTACCTCACTGCTTCCATTTCCTACAACTCCAACAGATACTAGCCAGAACAAGAGCCCACTGACCAGGCAAATCCTACAGCAAGACACACCCCTAAATTATGCTCTTCCACCAGCAGATTACCCTTCAACATAGCCTCATTTTGCAGTGAGAAACATCTGCTGCAAAGAAGGGGGCTGGTTCCTTACACGGAGATAGTTAAATCTGGCAGGTATCCACTGCTGTTATACATATTCTTTTCCTAAATTTCAGCGTGGAATGACTTTGGAATGACTTAAATACAAGATGAACATACCTAACAGATTCATGCCCTGTTTAGCAGCTATTGCACTGCTTTATGAATTCACCATACTCAGTTAAGTAATATATGCACATGCACTGTGGGATGCCAGTACTTAATGTATCACAACATGTTTTTTAATCACATGCCCCTCACTCTAATCCAGTATCAGCAAAACAAACCTTTTGCAATGCTTTCTCTTGTATTCAACATTTGGATATTGAATTTGGACAAATGGAAGGGATTCCATAAAGACAATCTCTAAATGATAGCAGCAGAAAGCATAATTAGATTCCTCTTTTGGATTAGCATAAAATCATCTGCATGTAGTTAAGAGTTCAGCAAGGCTTAAATACTTTGCTGCTTGAAGATTGATGAATGTGTCAGATCTGCAATGATTTGGAGGCTTTTTTTTATTGCTGCATTCCCAGCACACCAACGTTCTGATTCCAGTCTGAGCATTACTAGCTGCATTCAAGCCCTAGATTTTTTTCCACTGCCTGGATGAATTTTAGTAACACAGAAGCTGCTGAGTAGCTTTACCACAAACTGAAACGCTTGAAGGGAGTTTGGCACCAAAGTTTCCTAAAAAATTCTCCTTACGGCTGTTCTGAAGCATTCTGATAGGTATCCAAGATGCTTCCCAGTAACAAGTAGCATAAGACAAATACACATCAGTCCAATTAATGGTATATACAGATGTGAATCAAGTTTGCCTATAGTAGACATGTCAAGGAAAACAGCCACCCACAGCCAAGTTACCTTAAAAATATAAAATCTTATTTGGTGGTGCTTGCTATTAAAAAATAAAGCAAATGCATCCTATTTCATTTTTTACTCTAAAGGCTTACTACAGAAAAGCAAAGCAAACCTTATCCACTGATTGGGTGAAAATTCAACACCAGATGAGACCTGAGGTGATCATTTACTGCTCTAATTTTCTTGCTCACATACAATTTTCCTGTAACTACAATTTCACTGTAGTAGCATGGACGTACATCTATTTGCATGAACAAACCTGAGCCCAAATCTTCATTTTACTAAGACCTAGCAGAACAGCCTTGACTTGAGGATCAGTAGACTGCTGCTTCAGGATTCACCACTGCAACTGTGAAGCTTTGAGCAAACCTAACTTCTTATCCTTTTTG